TCAACATCTTTTAAGTTTGGAGAGAACATTGATTCATGCCTGATTACGGGAATCAATCAGTAGACCCTCCAGATATATTTGGCTGAATAGGTTTTTGAGAGTGGGGCCAGTTTGTAGTTCCAGGGTTTTAATATTCGGCCGTAAAGCCATCGCTTTCCCTGATTTTAGAGTTTTTATAGCTCTATGTATTTCATTTTCTGTTTTTGGCTCACTGAGGAGCTCCCTGGACTTAGTCAAGCCTGGATTCGCTGGCTATTGTCTATGGCCGGGATCACTAGTCTGGGGTGACTGTTTGCACTGTTTTACAATAGACATTCTTCTCGTGCTTCTTTCACTTTTATAAATCCTCAGCATTTCAAATGCAAAATATGAAGCCTCCTGTCATAAATGGTAAGATTGTAGCTTATGCTAATGTAGTGTACCTATAATCTTAATTAAGAGTAATGACAGGAGGCGAATATTTCCCCACCCTTCTTTTCTTACCACCCTTGGCCTTCTGTTCCTTGGTTTGTAATTTTCACTGTTAGGATTTAGGTTTGGAATGTTTCATGGCCATAGCACATCTATTTTATCGTGTTCAACTGTTAGAATTATTTAGCCTAATTTAAATTAATTCAAGATTATTACATGGTTATTGTAAGATGGACAACGTACCATTTCAAATGCCTTTCACTTCTTTTTGTTTTCTTTCAGTGTGATCGGTTACGTCCACGGCAAGACCTCCTTCTGCGGTTTCTCTGGAAGACTCCTCATCTGGTTTATGGATTGCTACATTGTTTTTAATGGTTCCTTATGACTTGTTTTACTATTTCTGACTATAATGTTATTACTGTCGCTACACAGAAAGAGGAGGAGCTTAGACTGGCAGGACCTTTTGTGGAACGTGTAGTTTTTTGATTGCTTGTTCTGTTATGATCTGTGCTGCTGGAGTTTTCAGTAAAGAGAGTTATGTAAAATATTTGCCTCCTGTCATTACCAAAATTGAGATTATAGGTACACTACGTTAGCATAATCTACAATTTACATCCACATTCCCGACGCAACCTCTTTTTATAACCTTTTAAATTTATCTTTAGATTATAGGCTCACAGGCTATCTAGCAATGTACTCTGAATAAAAGATCTTTAGGCTCACGGGCAGCACTTTCTATCTTTTGTAATGGTCTGTTTATACTGTATTGTCTTTTTCCCCAATTGCACAGTGCTGCGGAATATGTTGGCACTTTCTAAATGCCAGTAATAAATAATTACATCATTACATCGTGATACTCCAACACATCAAATGGCTGTCAATTCCAGCCTTAACATAACCACAGGATATACTGGCATACAATAAATCATGTTATTAAAACTCTGCATAACAAGTCAAAACCAGCACATAACTGTAAATGTAAACAAAAAGATTCATGTTTTGTTGAATTCAATTTTCCTACGAAATAGCACTGAGTAATTTAATGGACTTTCAGTTCCTGGTCATACGTTAAATTACATGCAAGTCTCAAGTTGCCCTTTCTTTCTGTCAATGAAGCTTCCTTTGAGTCTGAAAAGAGGCAACAACAGTAAGTGAATCTGTTCAGCCAAAAGCCATTGGTCAGAACATTCATTTATGAAAGAGGCTAAAGTAGGCTGAAAAGATTGTGCAGAGCAATATATGGGTTAGCTAGCCAGCTGATGGTTCAGTCTAACACCAGTGATGGAAAGCCCACGATTCATAACTTCTCCGTACCTTGACACAAATGGGGGACGGTAGTCACAAGCAAAGATGTCCTGCTTCTTCCAGTCAACTACAAGAAAGTGGGATGAGTAACTAAAACACTGGAAAACCAAACATTCAAATCCGATAAGTGATCAGCTCTTAAACCCAATATATAATAATTAAAAGGCCCTAAAAACGAGAAGTAAATGGTGTATTCCTTAATGGTGATTTATTCACACACATTGGAGAACCGAATTGGAGGGGTTTATTCACTAAACGGTGAATGGTGGTAAACTGTAAAACAGACTGAAAAGGTCAGACTTTAATAGTTAGACTTGTGAAGTATGTGGAAGCACTAAGAATACATCTGAACTGTGCACACAAAGTACATACAGCTAGCACACAACACACACACACAGTACATACAGCTAGCACACACCATACACACAGCACACAACACACTCACAGTACATACAGCTAGCACACAACACACACAGTACATACAGCTAGCACACAACACACACACACACACTACAGCCTGCACACACACACAGCCAGCACACAACACACACACACACAGTACATACAGCTAGCACACAACACAACACACACAGTACATACAGCTAGCACACAACACACACACACACACTACAGCCTGCACACACACACACACACACACAGCCAGCACACAACACACACACACAGTACATACAGCCAGCACACACCACACACACACACAGCACACAACACACACACAGTACATACAGCTAGCACACAACACACACAGTACATACAGCTAGCACACAACACACACACATAGTACATACAGCTA